GCGACGAGTATACTCGGCTAAAACAGAGTAAGTGCATTTGTTGTAAAATCGAAATAAATTATAATAAAACTAAAAATTTTTTAAAATGTCTTTTTATATTATATGTATATTACACATACTTATTATACAATTGTATTATTTTATCGTATTATTTTATAAAACATTATAATTACAATTGATATCAATTTGATTAATGCGTTAAAAAAAGTACAAAATAAAATATTTTATATTGTCTTTTGATTGTTCTAAAAAATTTTGAACCGTGTTACCATTACGAACCACCCAAATGGGGGTTCCCACCTTGTAGTAGCTCCGAGGCGGGAGCTTGGGGCTCGCGGAGCGCTCGGTGCGCACGTGGTCTGGCCGCCTCGCAGTAACTACACGGAACGTGATTTTGTTCCCAGCAAGTGCTGGTGGCGGCGTGGCCAGGCATTGATCGTCACCTCTTCTCTGGGCGCTGGCGGATCTGCCTGGTCGTGTCGTCACAATGGAAGTGTAATCTGACGGGACAACAATTGACCACAGAAAGTGAGCATCTGGTGTCCTCGGGGGCTGTGGGCTCTCGCGCCGGAGCGGGTGGTGGGGCTTAAGGTCACGAGCGGTGGTCATCCGCTCAGGGATGGGCTTGTCTGTGACCAACTAAGAAGAACACCCCAAGTTAAGGTGTGAGCGACCGTGCCGAGAGCTGCGTGGCGCAAGGGGAGTTGCGTCGTAAACGATGCTTCCTGGATACCGGGCAAAATCCAGGAGTACGGAGCCAAGCCTCAGCCATTCATGGCTCTGGCTGAGTAAGACCGCGCGACCGCGATACTTGTGGGAACACGAATGATTGAAAACGGAAATAAANTCACCCCCCAAATTAGTCAAGAGCGAGGTAAACGCCCAGAGGAATCTTGCAGTGCGGGAGCGAACTCAGAAGCCCTAAAAGACCGCATATAATATAACGAAGCCGCTAGGCGCCGTTATAATAAAGAGATGTTAGCCGGGAAGAGTGGGGCCAATAAGGCCTCCTCTACCCCTGCAGCCTCTTGCTCAAAAGGTGGAGCGGGGGGTGGGCGGGTTTCGGGTGGCGCGGCAAAGCGCGCCAGGCCGGAGCACATTACTCCCAGCCCTTCAGAAAATCGCCAGGGCAAGAGACCCAAAAATGAAAGTTGTCGTATGCACAGACGACAAAAGGTCTTGTCAGGATGGCCCTCGTACTGGAGGGCTACACTGACAAGAAAATGNGAGCCGGTGAGGTGGTTGAGATCAGAAAACTGATCANGTCTGTNATCCTTGGCATGTCTGAGAATGACAAAGCCCCCACTTTTACTGGTTTCTAGGAGAGGGATGGCGCATTCATGGTTGTGTGCGCCAACAAAGAGTCGGCGGAATGGCTTAAGGCCCATTCTTCCGATTTAAAAGTCAGAGGAACTCTTCTGTGTGTGCTGCCGGTTGGTGAGCTAAGTAAGCGTCATTGTGTGGTAGTGCATGTAGAAGAGCCTGAAGTAGAGGTTGAGGAAACTTTAAAGCTCTTTAACCAGCAAAACATAAAGTTGGCAACCAGCGATAGGGTNGTCACCAGGGGAACGTATAGGAGGGACGCTACGAGNGCCCACTTCTCCTGTCTGGTTGGCGACTCGGCGATGGAAGCCTTGAAGCANTGTGGCTTCAGCTTTCTTCTGTCTNGGCCGGGCCACCGTTAAGTTGGCGGGACGAGAGCGTGGGGAGGCGACGGAGTCGGAGGGTGTCGGGACTGCCTAAAAATGGCTTCTCTCGGCATCCAAATAATCCAAATTAACTTTCATCACAGCAAGAGCGCCTTGGCTATGCTGTAGCCAGGAGCATGGCTGTGATGCATACAAGTATTGCACTAATTCAAGAACCATGAATAGTGAATGGTGCAGTAAAGGGACTGAGTAGGTGCGGCTGCTTATACAAAGCACACTCAGAAAATAGAGTAAGATCATGGATTTTAGTAAAAGGACTAAATGCTATCTTTCTGCCACAGCTCAGCAGCGAGAACCTCACAGTCATCAAGATNAGAGTGAAGCTGGCCGAGAAAGAAGACATGGAAGTATTAATAGGGTCAGTTTATATGCCCTATGACTCCACGGATTCACCACCACATGAAGAGGGAAAAAACCTTGTGGCCTATGCNGAAGCCAGGGGGCTTGAACTNCTGCTGGGTTGCGATGCGAACTCCCACCATGTAGGATGGGGAAGCACAGACACCAACCTGCGAGGGAAGAGTCTCCACGACTACCTAATGGCCACAAGATTAACCATTCTCAACAGAGAAAACGAGCCGACATTCCTGGACTCCAAAAGACAGAAAGTCATTGATATTACGGTATGTACAGAAAGGGTGGCGAGTTTGATGAGGGACTAGAGGGTATTGAATAAGCCCTTTGGGTCGGACCATAGACATATACGCCTAACTCTCCAACAAATACCGCAAATCAGCTGGGTTTGTAACCCACAAAAAACCAGCTAGGAGGGCTTTAGGGCTGACCTTAAGGGTCAGCTCGTTATGGTCCCAACCAGTTTTAGAACCAAAAATAACTTGAAAAACACGGCGGACTTTTTAAAAAACGCCATCACAAACGCCTTTGAATTAAACTGCTCATCAAAACTCAAGAATCCGGTGAACAAGATCCACTGGTAAAATAAAGAGCTCGGTAAGCTCAAGTTGGAAACGAGAAAAAAATTCAGCAAAGCGAAAAGAACAGGACTTGCAGTACGCTGGGAGGCCTTTAGAAGCTCCCAACGAGACTACAGCAAGGAGATTAAGAAATCAAAGTGCAAAAGCTGGAGACGTTTCTGTGAAAGCATTGAGAGCGCCCCAGAGGCATCCAGGCTTCACAGAATCCTCAGTTTGGATCACCGTTCCCAATTAGGCTGTCTCCCAACGGGGAATGTCACTGAGGAAGCAACGGACACATTGAAACATTTAATGGAAGTCCACTTTCCAGGTTGTGATCATAACATATAACCCTGCCGACCGAAGCCTAGGGAATATAAACCCAGGGACTGGCGTCTGACAGCTGAGGTTGTTTGTCCAATGAGAGTTGAATGAGCTGTTAAGACCTTCTCTCCCTATAAATCACCTGGACCGGATGGAATCTACCCGGTTCTTCTTCAAGAGGGGCTGGGAGTTCTCATAGGTCCACTCACAAAAATCTTCAGGGCTAGCATAGTTCTAAGACACGTCCCCCAGGCTTGAAGTGGTACAAGAGTAGTCTTTATACCCAAGCTTGTTAGAAATGGCCATATAACAGCCAAAGACTTCAGACCGATTAGTTTCTCTTCCTTTGTACTGAAAACACTGGAGAGACTGGTCGATAGATATCTGAAAATCGGCCCTTTGCTAGTACATCCGCTGTCTCCGGCTCAGTATGCCTACAGGGAGGGCAGATCAACAGATACTGCCTTCCACCATCTCGTGGGCGGAGTCAAAGTGCAGTTGGAAGCAAAGGGATATGCCCTGGGCGTCTTTCTGGACATTGAAGGAGCTTTCGAGAGCACCTCATATGATGTCATCAGCGTTGCCGTGGAACTTGCCACACGTGACGTCACGCAGTAGAGAGATAGAAAGGTACGACTCGTACCTCTCTATCTCTCTACTGCGTGACGTCACGTGTGGCAAGTTCCACGGCAACGGTGGATGTCATCAGAGAAGCAATGGGCATCATATTCCCGCTGCTCTAGCAGACTGGACACAAAGCATGCTAACAAGAAGAATCCTGATTGCCAATCATGGGGACTCAAGTGTGCATAGTTTTCCCGCTAAAGGATGCCCGCAAGGAGGAGTTTTATCTCTTCTGCTCTGGTGTGTGGTCGCGGATAAACTTCTACGAGAATTGCAGAAGAAAGGCTTCCTTGTCTTTGGCTACGCTGATGACGTGGTCATTATAGTGTGCGGTAGTTTTCTTTCAACACTTAAAGAGACTATGCAGAAAGCCCTTAAGATCACGCAAGACTGGTGTCAATCAAAAGGACTTAGGGCTAATCCATCAAAGACCAAGTCCATGATTTTCACCAGGAAATACAAACCTGAAGCCAGTGAGCCGCTTAGACTTTGGCGAGAAGATATAGAATACGTCCAGTCAGTAAAATATTTGGAAGTCCACTTAGACACCAAACTGAAGTGGAAAACACATCTTGATATTAAGAGATCCAAATTCTACGCTTCATACTGGGCGTGTAGAAGAGCAATGGAAAAATCCTGGGGTATTAAACTATAAATACTGCCCTATGGATATACAAAGCGGTACTTGTACCGAGGTTAACATATTAACTTCATTTTTATTTAACCAAATCATGTTCCCCGGGGGGACAAGCTCCCCCGGGGTGGTATACAAAATAACTGTGAGGGCGGACACTGCCGCCCACGCTCGCGCGCAAAAATTTTATAATAAAAATTGGCCGGGGACATGGCCCCCCCGGCTAGGAGGCGCAGAAAACTCCGTCAGAGGGGGCACATACTTACCGTTTCTAGTGAGGGGTAAGATGCACCACCTCATCACGGTTTGGGCGAATGCAATACAATATCGCCCGAACTAACCGGCTGGGGCGATATTCACAATGTGCGCACAGTTATTTTGAGTATACATATGTATATGCTCCCGGGCCACACGCAGTACCTAAACTAATATAAAGGACCCGGGAGCTGCGGCGCGGCTAAGAAGCTACTCTGAGGCATTGCTAAATCACAAACAGCATGCCCAGTAATAATAATAAACAATGCAAAGTAAATAAATAAACGCGGCACACACACTCGACTAAAATACAAAAGTAATACGCGACATTCACACTCNGATAAAATACAATAAAGAAGTTCGCGGCATTCACACTCGAAGGCCCGCATAAAATTATATAAGTCAAAAAAAATAAAAAGTCATAAGGGTCAAAAAAAATAAAATAAGAAATAACAAAAACGCAGTCAAAAGAAATAAAACATAAAAATAACTACGTCAACAAAATAAAAATAAAATTAAAATGGCCCAATGATAAATTACGCGGCATTCACACACGAAATAAATTAAACGCACAAACAAGAAAATAAATAAATAATTACAATAAACGGGAGAGGAGGACCCTACGCCTGGCGCCCGCAATGCGCCAGGAT